AATGGATTTTAATTTAGCATTAATTTCATATTGATAGATCAGATATGAAGTTTCCATGTTGGTTATGTTCTTCTTCAATATCTGGTTTTCAACTTGACATTTCTCCAAATTGGTGATGGTTGCATTATATATTTCTTCAGCAATTTGAAAATCATAGGAGAATTTCTTTGCTTGATCCTCATGTATCTTTTTCCAGTAACCAACATCAGTCTTCAGTTTAATGATTTATATCATCCATTCTTCAGGAGTACCTCCGAGTCCAACATCTTTGAAGGTTTAACTGACTTTTCAGAAATCATCAAGCATGGCTTCGACTTCTGTGCTTAATTTCTTGTTTTCGTCTTTCAAAAAACTTGCTTGAGATTTATAAAAATTCTCTCCCTTGTGACTACTCCTATTGATGTTCTTACCATAAAATATATTTGGCACCAGTCTAACAGGATTTTTGCATATGTAGCCCTTCATTATTTTGAAAACTTCCTCGAGATATCCTTCTTTTATTACTTCATAGTTTACTTGATCATGAAACCCTTTATCCATAATAAAAGCCTTTAATTATGATAATCACTCTTGAATCAACACCCTTGAGTATGCCATGATTATGCAAATGCAAATAGAACAATTAATATATGCATTTTTAGAATATATACAAACACTGGTTTCTAGTTCCATGCTTTGTTTGGAAAAATAACCTAACTGCATGATTTCTAGTTCGCATGTATTTATTCAGAAAATAAATAAAAATAAAATATTCAACGTACTTTTCCTTGTGTACTAAACTTACAAAACTTATTTGGGTTAGGTTTCACCTAAACTCCAGTTCTAGGTTTTCTATATGCTGAGTTGTGGCTCTAGAGTAAAAAGGATCAACATATTGTCCTTTGTTAGTGTCCCCTTGGACTGTCAAGCCCTCAATCCTAGTCCATTATAGACTTTTGGATTAAGTTCAATTCGAAGGAACACACCTCCTTAAGTCCATACGAAGGTGAAAACCACACGAGGAACATAAGGTGTGAGCTCACAGAATGGTCCCCTATCCCATACGGAGGTGAAAACCACACGAGGGAGTAGTTTCTCATTCACTTAAATAGGATAAGAGCGGGGTTTTAGCTCATGTCATGAATGCAGAGCACAGTGGGTGAGGAAAACCATAAAATAAAAATAATTATAATGTACAACCTATTATCCTATTTTAATAACCCATAATTAAAATCTGTTTACACATAAAAAAACAAAAGTTAGTAAAATAATAAAAATAATTATAATAAAATTAAAACAAATTTATTATTTACTACAAAGACATATAATTAATAAATTGGTGGCTGGACTCTCATTTTTTAAAAAAATTCCCCAGCGGAGTCGCTAAGCCGTCGAGACATTTCTCTGCCCTGGCGACGGAGAGTGTAAATAGTACACCCCAGACAGTGTAACTAGTCTCGAAAAAGTAAGTGTTTATCTTCCATGAATCATATTAAACACCAAATTGTAGAGTCACCACCAATCTTTTAATTTGGTGAGATTTGTCACCAAAATATCATATTATTTTAATAAAAATTCTTAAGAATATTATTAAAATAATACAACTCGGGTCTACTTTACTAGAAAAATGAATTTGGGAGTCGGTTACGTATGGAAAAGAATTAGCATTCCCACGACGCCCAAAATTGATACCGATATTTATTAATTAAATGTCTTTGCAGTATTTATAAATTTGTTATTAAAAATTTAATTTAAAAATAATATAAATATTAAATAATTACTAAATAATATTAAACATAAATATTATTTGTAACATCCTCAATATCGGGTTAGTGACTAGATTGAAAAATTTCAGAAATTGGTTATTAAAGTATGATAATTGAATAGTTCAATGATTTATTGGATATATGAAAGGTTATTTGGTAATTATTGAATAAATTAAAGGGTAAAATGGTCATTTGACTAGAAATATTTTTATCTTTCTTTTGAGCTTATAAAACACGTGGAAAGAGTGAGAAAGAAAAAGAAAATTCTAGAGCTTGGGTTGTCTCCTTCCTCTTCTCTTCCAGTAAGCTCCATGGCAAAGGTAAGCTTAATTTCAGTTGGTTAATTCTTGAGTTTTAAGCTTAGTTTTGATTCTTGGGGTGCTAAGAAAGATTAATTAGAGATTAAAGTCTGTTGAAACTTCAAAATGGATGAGTTATGAAGGATTAAATATGAAGAGTTTTTAAGTGAATTAGTGAAATAGAAGGAGTTAATAGATTTTGAAGTTGAATTTGACTTGTCAATGGTTAAATTAAGAGATATGAAGTGATAAAATGAGTTTTAAAACATGTTGAAAATCTGGTATGATTCTTGAAGTTAATAAAGAGGAAAGGATATTAAGTTTCAAGACGAGATAAATGAATATAAATGAGTTTGAATATGAGTAAGTAAGTTAAGAATAAGAAAGGGGATGATATATGAAGTAATTAAGCTGAAAAGAGGGGATTTTCGGGCATAAATTGGAATTCTGGGCTATGTGCATTGATGCACATTCAATGTGTACCGATGCATCAAGGGTAAATTTCTAGAAATTGTTCAGTGTGTATCGATGCACAGGAAGTGCATCGATGCACCCCTTAAAAATGGAAACATCGAATGCAATTAGTGCATCGATGCATAAGGAGTGCATCGATGCACATGTTAAGGGATGCATCGATACACTGTAGAATGCATCGATGCACTTCAAGGGGAAATATAAATAAACCTTTCTTTTGGTATAAGAAATGATAGATTAGAGTATATCAATTGGATACTAATATGTATCAATGTATGAATATATAGATATCGAGCACGAACAAGTCCCGGAACGATTATCAAGTTATGATTCGATCGTAAGAGAGAAAATTATAAAAATGGATTGGAACTTAGTGAGGCCAAGGTGAGTGCATATGATTATAGTATATGATTATATGGAAATTAGACTTGCGATGAGTCTATTTCCATGTTCTGATTTTATGAATGCATGAAAATAAGTATAGTTGGTAGCCGTTAGTATGTGAATATGGATTGTTATGTTATTTTCTATGTAATATAAGTTATGTGATGAGGATCTATGTTTTTTATATGTCTATGAGAAGTATGTGCTATGTGATGTATATATGAGCTATGAGTTATATGGTTCTATGAGAATATGAAAAGAGATATGTGAATTATATGAAAAGTTATATGAATTACATGAAAAGAAGCTATATGTCTACATGTATATGTGAAAGAAGCTATGAGCTTATATGAACATGTGAAATGATATAATTGAAAATGCCCATGTTATGTGTAAAGAGAGCTAGAGGTATAGTTGGCATGCCAAGAGTCGAGGGTTCTACGTGGTCCTTCGGGACATATATGTATTATTTGGAACATTTACACGATCTTATGAGACACATATGTGATCCATTGAAATATGTATATGGTTCTTAAGGAGTGGTCCTTCGGGACAAATACAGTACATAGGTCCTTCATGACAAAATTCATAGCCCCTTGTGGGACCCCATACGAGCTGTAGTGACAGTATAGTACACAACCTCAATAGACTCATATATCTACAGTTCTCATAGATGTACATGGGCTAACAAAGAGATAACAATAAATATATATATTACTTATAAAGTATATGTTTTTGTGATCTGAATTGTATTATATGATTGATATGATGATGTGTGTATGGTTTGAATGAGTCATATATCCGATAAAAAGGTATGATTAAAGGATATAAATGATAAAAGAATAAGGTTAATGATGGAAATGAAGAATGACGTGTATATGTGTACATTTGATTATATGAAATGCTATATTGTTTTGTGTGATAGCATGATATGATATGATATGATATGTTCATGCATGATTAAATAGTTAGAGTTACTTTAATGTGTTTAATGCCTCACTAAGTCATAGACTTAGCGTGTGAGTGTTTCACACGTAGGTTCTGGAAAGCAAGAAAGAGAAGTTTAGAGGAGCAAGACAGGCCAGATTCTTCTTCCCACAATTCAGATCAGAAATAGGTTTAAATTATGTATTTTTGTCATATGAAATGTAGTTGGCATGTAAGATAAAATATTTGTACTGGAAACGCTCTGATCAATTTGTAAAACCATACGTTCTATACTATAGAAATTATTTGGGTTTTATTGGAAATGTCTAATTGAATTTCATTGGATTTTGTCAAAGTAAACGTTTTGATCGGTCAATGTGACACCTCGGACTTGTATTCGGGTCGGGTACGGGTTGGGGGAGTTACATTATTTGTCCTATTTTTATAATTAATATTAACTATATAAATCAAATTATATATTATATATAATAATAAACCTAAAATACTAATAATAATTAATCATATAATAATTTTATATTTAAAACATATAATATTGAAATTAATTAATTTGAATTAATACTATAATTATGTATTAATTATGTAATTTACCCTAATTTACTAAAAAGGTTAAAATATAAACTTATTAATATGTAGGTACTAAATATATAATTAACCTAAATATACATATGTATACAAGGACTAAAATATAAATATACAAAATAAGAAACCAAATTAAAGAAATGCAAAACCTGATTTCGGGACCAAATCGTAAAGCTTACAAAGCCATAGGGATTACGCGCGTAGTTGACCCATGCAGAAATTACAAAGATACCCTCCCAAAATGACGTTGTTCGGGAGAGGGTATATATAGCCCAAAACCAGCCCTCTAAGGGCCATTTCTCCCATTTCTCTCATCTCTCTCTAAACCGAGAGAACCCTCTCGATTCTCTCTCTAAAGAACCCTCACCTGAGGGATAACTACCACCGACCGACAACCTTATGCCGTCGCCGTTCGTCGCCGCCGGCCACCACCCACGGTGGCCATAATACACCAAACTTACCCAAAATAAAGATTTGAACCCCCTCGTTCTAAGTCTGGGCTTGCTTTTTCCTAAAACTTAGCCAAACATCGTAGATCTGGCTATTTACCTTCTGTGTTTCGCCTTCTCTAATGGAGCGTGGAGGCGGTAGTTACTCCGACTACGATGGTAAGGCTTCATTTGCTCTCTTTGCTTTCGAATACTGCTGTGGATCGTTGTGGTAGCCTCTTTCTTGCTCTCTGTTTTGTGTTTGTTTATCTCTCGTTGTTATGTGTTCTTTTGCAGGTGATGGGGGCTATTTATAGTCCTCCAAGTTCGACGTAATAATGACCCTACCCGGTGAGCCACCAGACCTACGGTGGTAACTCACCCTAGGGTAGTGAGGTATGCGGTTCATATTGTTCTTTTGGGTTTACTGTGTATTCGGGTGAGATTTGATGGTGACAACGGTGGTGCTTGAAACTGGAGGCGACGACTGCTAGGGTGAAAACCCTAGCTGATGGAAGATCTGGACCCTCCATTTTCCCCTTGATCGAACGAATGAGGAGGAAAAACGGCGCAGGAGAAGAGTTATGAAAACCCTAGCTGCTGAGTTCGGGCTTCTCGGGCCTAGACTGGAATTGGGTTTGGACTGGTTATGGGCCGAGTATGGGTCTGAACCGGGTCAACATCTGTAAATGGGTTCCGGTTTATGTTTACAATATTGGGCCCTGGGTTATTTGGTATTTGGGCCTTGATTTTTATAATATTTATAAATATAATAATATATATAATTAATATATAATAATAATAATAACATATATAATTAATAATAGTATATTATTATAAAAACTCGGACGAAAACAACTGTCGACAGTACCGATATTGTTCTTTAGCTAGAGTAAAACAAGGAAATTTTGTGAAGGTAGTATCGATACTCCTTTATAGGATATTGATACCATGGGTAGGGCATTAATCATTCATATGGTATCGATACCATGGGTAGGGTATCGATATACCATGAGTGGTGGTTGACCGGGGGGTTTTAAGATTTGCAAAGGGCGCCGGTCGAGGGAAAGAGAGAAGATAAGAGAAACTCTCAAAATAAAGGAGGGGGTTGGGAGCAATTAGTTTAGGTATAGTTTCAGGTTAAACTATAATTAGTCTTTTATATAGGTTAATTAGGATTAATCTATTTAGGGTCCCTAAAGTTTAAGTGCTTATTTATAAACCGGTCCTTAATTTCTTTAATTTCATGAATTTACTTAAATGTACAGACCCCGTTCACGTTATTTAGCCTTTAGTTCTCTTAATATGATAATCTTAATTGAAAAGGGAAATTTATGTTTTAGTACCTCTATTTTTTTAAGTATTTTTGCATTTTAATCCCTATTCAGTTTTTTAATTATTGCAATCTTGCCATTTTTATTATTATTTATTGTAATTTGATTACTGTTTATAAGGTTGTTATTTTTTATTTGGTCCTTTAATTATGTTGTTGGTTTTAATTTAGTCATTTAACTAATTGTCATTAAATTAACCTTAATATTAATTTAGTTTTATTTGTAAATTATTAATTAGTTTAGTTTTTTATTTTAAATTTGTATTAATAATTTTAGTATATTTACATTTTCTTTTTATGTATTTACATTTTTTATTATTTAATTTCGATTTTTATGTACTTTATTGTAATATTTTTTCTTTGATTAATTAGATTGTAGGATAAATCCTTTATATTTAATTCTCTTTAATTTAGTTCATAATTAGAGCCTTAGATTTTAAATTTAACCCTTAGATTTAGATTTCTCACGCTTTAGTAATGAACTTTTTAATTTAGGGAATAATTTGATTTGACCCTCACATTAAATGTTCGAGGATCCATTTCGATTATTTGATTCAATAATTGGTTAAAATAAATTAGGATTAATATTAGAGCCTATATTTTTAGGTTTAGTCCTCTATGTTCTTTAATTTTCATAAATTGACACTTTAAGTCAAGGATTGCCTTAATTAACCCACCTAGCATAATTAGGTTTAACTACTTGTTTGGTTACATCTTGATTTTAAAATAATACGGCAATATTCATTTATCAATTAATTAGTAGTGTATCCTCCGTGTTATGCTCAGGGGGTGACCACTGGTAATTTCCGAAGTAAATCAACATCTTTTTCGAAACACATATCATGATTTCTTAAACTTTAAGGCAATGTTTGTTTACTTAGATCAATAACGAAGTTTTCACATAAAATGCTCAAGGATGGTCGTTATTAATCTTAGTAAACCGACATCATTTTCTAAACTTGGCATCCATAATGAATTTTAAATTAAATAAAACATTGAACTCAAAATTTCCAATTTTAAATATAGGGTAATCAACTAGGTATCAATTTTTGGATGTTGTGTGGTGCTAACTCTTCCTCACGCGTAACCGACTCCTAAACCTGTTTTTTTTCCCAAACCCAAATTTGGTATTTTTGATAAAATAAAATGTTTTATTAAAATTAGCCGATTTTAGGTATTCCAATCGTACCTTAAAATGATTGATAGCGACTCCCAACATTTCATTAAAAATCTTTTCAAAAACCTCATTGTTGCAACTAGTCAGCTTTTCCCCCTAAGAGTCGGTTGAGATAGTATTTAGAACATATACTATTTTGTAATCACCTTAACTTAATAAAAAAATAATTAAAGTACATAAATATATTAGACATTTATAAAGTAGAGGTATTATATTAAGGCATTCTCTAAAGTACACGGGATTAATGCCATTATTCCTTGTTTAATTGAACAAAGATTTTACTTAACAAAATCCTCGTACATTGCAATTTTAAGTCTTGGAATGACATGGTATCATGTACTCAAATTAAGTCACGTATATGTGTTTTTGGAAAGAAGATAGTGTTAAAAGAATAAGAATATTAACACCATTTAACCTACCTTTAGAATGATGGGATGTCTTAAACTATCTTTGTTTCCCCATGCCAGATCAAATTTGTAGTGTGATAATCGCTTATTGAAATAAACTAAAGCTTAATAATAACAAAAAAAAAAGACTTCGAAAAAAGTTCAATGAAATATTCAAATTATTAATGACTAAAGTCCAAAGAATTTTAGAGTTAATTAGAGAGACTAAAAAAATCTATACGGTTTGTGGTAAATAATTAAAAATAAATTGTATTAATGAAATTCACTGGGAATGGTTGAAGAAATAAAACTGGGAGAAAGACAGATTTGAAGGAACAATTAATAGTAATCACAAAAAATTTGAAGTTGAGGAGGAATCTGGAGAAATGTAGTTGGAAGCATCCTTCTAACAACACGTGGAAACAACAGCAGTCCCCCATTTTAGACGACAACCCTTATTGGTTGGGACAGGAGGACTCAGAATGCACCCACTTCCAAATCCCTCAAAACTTTTGTCTTTGTTTTTGTTTTAGTCATCTAGTTTTAAGACATTTTGATTATTTTTTTTAATTTTTCTATTACCCATCTATTAATTGTCTTAACCTTTTGAGTAAATTTATGTAAAAATCCCTTAAAACTTTCCTTTAAAACCCATCTTCTCGGTCTCTCTTTGTTTAATTGACATTTGAGTATTTCATTTTAAATTTGAAACTATGAAGAGATAGTAAAGGAGGAGAAAAAAAAATATTTGAATTCTATAATTATCAAAGAATAGAGATTGCAAGTTGAGATAAGACAATGTTGAAGCTTTTATTATTGTTTTTTTTTTTTAATTTTGAAAAATATTAAGCCGAAAGAAAAGAAAGAATGAAAAAAATGATAACATTTAAGTATCATTTACGTAAGAAATAATGGTTTACATATGTCAAAAGATAAATAACATTTAATTAATTAGTGCTATTACTATAGACTAGAATCTATAATTTATGTGGAACAATAAATAAATAAATATAGATAGATTTACTATATTATATATAGATACATAGTAGATTAAAATCACTTATTAAAAGATAATTTCACAATTAATATATTAAATAATCAAACTTATTTAAAAAAGTGGTTTGTGTGTCTGTTGGGTTCCTAATTTAGTTGAGACATCTAATTTTAAAAATAAAAAGCTTGGACTGTTTCTTTTATAATGTAGGGCGGGACGAACTCAAAATTTGTACTTGAAACCAATATACCCACATGATGCATGTAGGTGTTCAAAGTTGAGGCTATTTGACATAATTGACACCGTTTTTTTTTTAAATTTTCCCTTTCTGACACCGTTTGACCAATATTTCCAGAAGTAGCACCCTTTCTGCTGAGTTGGCAAAGGCGTGTCCCCGGGGACGCGCTTTACCCGTGTTTTAGCTGAGTTGGATGCCACGTGTGGAAGGCGCATCCCCGGGGACGCGCCTTCCATTAAATGTCATAAATGCCCCCATCCGTTTTTCCTAACTACCCCTCCTCCTCCCCTATATAAACCCCCTCAACCCTCTCTCATTCTTCACACCAAAATCATATTCTCCTCTTTTATATAACTCAAATTCTCCAACTATTTGAGTTTTAAATTTGTTATTAGTGGTAAGAAATTTATTTTTATGTTAGTATTTTTTTAAATAGTTATTATTTTTTATATTAATATATTTATGTAAATATTATTTTTTATTAAAATAATATTTATATAATTATTATTTATTTAGAATTATTAATTTTTTTTGCTAATTATTTTTGTCTACAGTTATAATTGAAAACGAAATGCTGTTGCGATTGGATATTGATCATATCTCCAGACATTTTAGCGATATGGTAATATTTTTTATAATTAATGTTACTATTTAAATTTATTTTTATTTTAAAGTTATTATGAATTTATATTAATTTTATTTTTTATAATGTATATTATTTAGGATGCTGATCGTATTTTAGAGACTTTTATTAAAAATCCACGTATACCGACACCGGAACGTATTTTGCCATATTTGGCTTCTGCCGGTTCGGGTATATTGCAACATTATAGGCGGTTGCAAACTCGAACCTGTCCTAATTTCTGCACTGATTGAGAGGTGGAGGCCCGAGACACACACACTTTTCACCTTCCATGTGGAGAGGCGACAATTACATTGGAGGATGTCTCTATGCATCTGGGGCTTCCCGTCGACAGAAATATGATGTGTGGTATGGCGGATGGTGATTGGCAATCAATGTGCATTGATTATCTTGGAGCTGCTCCGCCAGAGTTTAATGGAGGTAGAATAGCTTTATCTTGGTTGAAAGCTAATTTGAGGTTTTAAATGAAATGCTTCAGAGGATCAAGCAAAGGCATGTGCTCGGCATATATTCTACGAATAATTGGAGGAATATTGATGCCCGACAAATCTCGCAACCAGGTGCATTGTATGTGGTTGCGGCATCTGATCGATTTTGATGAAGCTGGAAGATAGTTGGGGTGCTGCAGTTTTGGCATTTCTCTTTAGAGAAATGTGTTGGGCGACGAATTATAAGAAAACTGCTATCGGTGGATGTCTTCTGCTTCTACAATCATGGGCGTGGTTCCGCATGCCTTTCTTATGCCCGATCGTGAATGAACCATACGTATTCCCCTTATTGTTGAGGTAATTTTCGAACTAAATTTTGATTTAAATATTTTCAATTAAATAGGGTGATATTTAGTTTATATATATATATTTCATAGGTGGTCGATGAAAAGAAAGGACCATAAAAGTATCCTACTGGGTTAGAGGAAATTCGTTTACTTATTATATGAAAGCTGGGTCTGAGGTATGTTTTTAAATTTGTTTAATTATTAATATTTTAATTTAAAATGTTAGATATAATTAGAATATTTTATAATTGAATATTTATATTTCAGTTTCAGTGGATACCTTATGCGAGCGATGAAGTGAAAGCTTGCATCCCACCCCACCTTAGTGGGTCATTAGAGGTATGGATATCAGTTATACCTCTTATATGTTATGCTATTATTGAGTGGCATCCAGTTGATCGCGTGCTCCGTCAGTATGGTTGTACGCAATATATTCCTAGAGCTCCTAGGAATTTAGACGACGTGCATAACATAGATAGACGAGGAAAGAAAGATGTTAACTGGGTGGTGAGACACAGAGATTGGATTATGCTTTGGGAGAACCGATATACACTGGTGGCCCCTCGACAATATTACGCTGAAACTGGTCATATGGTTACGGATAACTATATGGACTGGTTTAATGAAAATGGGAAGCCGTTTCTACTTTCGGCGGAAGCACGAGGGGTTAACATTCCTAGGCGCCGAGAAAGATGTCAACCGTCTCAATATCATCGTCCCCCGACGCGTGGACGGAGAGAAGGCGCTACCGGTTCTGCATCAGTCCCACCACAACATCCTTATTCGTCGATGCCGCAGGGGTACATGCCCAGCCCTCCACTTCATATGCCAAGCCCACCAGTTTATATGCCATCTCCGCAGGGTTACATTCCGAGCCCGCAGGGTTACATTCCGAGCCCGCAGGGTTACATTCCTAGCCCGCCAGGTTAATTGCCTAGCCCGCACGGTTTTATACCATATGGAGGTGCATATACGACTATGTTTAATGATCCAGCATATGGTTCATATGCATCTTATTTGGCTGGTGGTGCTTCTCCGCAGACACCTCAATCTCCATCTGGATCACAGACATCGATGCCAATGTTTCCACAGTTTTCACAGTTCCCGGGGAGCGGTGGGATTGTTACTAGCACTCCTCCAGGGTCGTTATTTTATACAGGCCCTTCAGCCCCTTCAGCGTCATCTACACCAAATGAAGAAAATGTTGCTGATGATGATAGTGAAGATGAGGAGACTGAAGAACAAGTTCCACGAAGAAATCCTCCACGAAATAGACAACCACCGCCATGTGGAACTCATTCGCGAAGACGACATCGGTGATCCCGTTATATTTAATGTTATTTAAATAATTATATTTCAGAATTTTATGTAATTTGGTTATGTTATTTAAATGTTTCATGGTTGTTACATACATATTTTTTAATGTTATTTTTTATTCACATTTAACATTAAATGTTTGATAAATGTTTTTAAAATACAAATTATATTATTCGAAATTTAAATTTAAATTTAAAATAAAAATAAAAATAATATTATTCAAATTTAAATTTAAAATATAAATTATAGTATTCGAAATTTAACATTAAATTTCAACTTAATATTCCAATTGTATTCAAAATTAAAAGTTATATTCCAATTATAGTTCACAATACTTAAATTGAAATTAATTTATCCACATATGATTTTATCATATATATATTAAAACGTATACATTAAAATCAACTTATGTTGAGTTCATCGATCGACGGAATCGGCCAAGAGGGGTGAATTGGCAATTTCAATGTCACATTTCAATGCTCATTCCATACAATTTCAATGTCACATCAACTTCTTTCACATTATTCAATTTATCCATACATTATCTAATTTATTCAAACTTCACATAACGTTTAATTAAGTTATTCTTAACTTGCTGAACTTTCAAAAGAAGTTAATTTTGGTTATAATTACCTGATTTACTGATATATCTGTCCCCGAGGGACATGAGTGAATAGGGAAATGATAAAATTTCTATGACAAAATAATGGAAGGCGCGCCCCCGGGAACGCGCCTTCATGTCCCCTGAGAAATAATAGGTACTGATATATCTAGTGTCCCCGAGGGACATGAGTGACAAATAGGGGCAATGATAACATATTTCTCTGATGAAATAATGGAAGGCGCGCCCCCGGGAACGCCTTCATGTGAATAGTGAAATAATAGGTACTGATATCTAGTGTCCCCGAGGACATGAGTGACATAATAGGGCAATGATAACATATTCTCTGACGAAATAATGGAAGAAGCGCCCCGGGAACGCGCCTTCATGAATAGTACTCCGATTATAGACACTATTATATGCAACGTATTATAAACTTTCAAACAAACTTCAGTTCACAATCTTCAAATTCTCAAATTCCCAAACTCTAAATTCTCAAATTCTATGAAAATGAGTCGTCTTTCTACTGTTGTTTTGTATGATGGAGAAATTAAGGAAGCTGAAGAGGGGGTTGTTTTTGAGTCAGATCATTATATCCCCTTAACCTTGAAGAAACATCACAATTGAGGAGTTAATCACAAAATTTCGTTAAAGATTCGTGTAGGCCAGATAAGACTATCTTCACTTCAGTGCAGATTTCCTACTGAACTTTTTCCGCTCACGTATACATCATTTCAGCTTTCAAACGATGATGATGTTTCTATGATGGTTGATGCTCATATGGGGAGTTCACAATCTCTTATTGAAATGTATGCCACTTTTATTGAGGTTTGTGCAACTCGTGGTCTCTCATATTCCTCTCACTTTGGCATTACATATCAACTGATCAAGTTGATAGCCCGACACAACTGATCTGTAATGATTTCACATCATTAATGGCGGATCCAACGCCATACCATGCCATCAAGTTCAATAGGAAGGCATTCATCTGCAACTGCTTATGATCTCAACCCACGTGGCTTCACCAATCCATATGGCAACATCTCTTCTACTTCAAGGGGCAGACATTCACTGCCAATGTTTTCGACTTATATGGAAATGCCAACGAGACGACAGTCTATTCACATCCCACATGATACAATGGCCTCAAGTTCAAGGGGAGGACACGCAAGCGGAAACTTATTTGACCTCAACATTGGATTATCGGAGGAACCCTCATCTCCACCAGAAAAACCTCTTCGGGAGCCAGGTGCAGATGCTGAAACAGGATTATTCGTTGAACCTGACTCACCACAGTTTAACGTACATTCTGATGATGACGAGGGACGTTCCGATAATACAACACCAGCCGAACTTCCTGCACATATGTATGAGGCTGATTATGATGCAATGTATGAGCCTGAATTTCCAGATCTTCCTGATGTTGGCAACTATGACTTCAATCATCAGTCAATGACGGTAATTTACATATTGGAATGGAGTTCGCATCGAAGGAGGAAGCAATGATGGCAATAAAGAGTTACAATATTCGTAACTCAGTTCAGTCCCGAGTTTGATCGATCTAACACGGAGAAATATGTCTGCTACTGCGTCCAACGTGACAACGGATGTCAATGGATGTTCCGTGTATCAAAGGAAGAGGAAGAACAACTTATGGGAACTAACCAGATACAACGGTCCTCATACATGTTGTGCAACAGGTATAAACCAGGATCATCCCAACTTGGACTCCAACATTATTTCAAGCAATCATGCCCATTGTGAAGCAAAGCTCTCATAGCTGTTGCAGTGTTGATTTCTGCTATACAGTCACATATGGGTACTCTCATATAAAAAGCGTGGTTGGCAAAACAGAATGCCATTTGCAAACTTCATGGCGAATGGGATTCCTCTTACAACGAGCTGCCCAGTTGGTTTCATGTTGTGCAAAGACTTAATCCTGGGACAATTGTTGAGTTCGAAACTCAACATCATTACGTGAATGATCGAATGTTCGCGATCGCTGCCAATTTTACTGAGTCTTTTGGACTTACCCTCAGTGTATTAATGCAGTCAAGTACTGTAAACCAATTGTCCAATTGATGGTACTTTCTTGTATGGGAAATACAAGCAAGTTTTATTATTGGCTGTGGTCCAAGATGGAAACCGCAATATTCTTCCTGTTGCGTTTGCCCTCGTTCAAGGAGAAGACACTGAGTCTTGGGCTTTTTTCCTTAAAAATTTACGTTTACATGTTGTCACCAGGGAACGAGTATGCATTATTTCAGACCGAGGAGCCGGGATAAAGCAGCAATGGACTCTTTGGGTACAATGTATAGACCTCCACATGTTCAACATCGTTATTGTGTCCGTCATATTGCTGCAAACTATTACGGAAAATACAAGAAGAACGATGAACGTCAGTTAGTCGTGCGGATGGGTATGTTTTTTTCCCAATTTTTCTATCAATTTCTTATTACTTATTTATACTTCATATTAACTATTACATATTCCTAATGGCTTAGGTTACGAACTCTTACCTCAAAGGTTTGAGTCGATACTACAAGAGCTGTTTGGCAAAATAAGAAGGGGTGCGAGTACATTATGGACATCAGCAAAGAAATGTGGACAAATGCATATGACGGGGGTATCACTATGGTCATATGACAACAAACTTGGCTGAAGCAATAAATTCAACCTTAAAGGGGCGCGTCATTTACCAGTCATGGCGTTGGTTAAAACGACTTATTTTCGTTTGGGTCAACTCTTTGCAAAGCTCGGTGGACAAGCTCTTACTTGGATGCAAAATGGACATATTTACCACCCAAGACTAGTAGTTGATTTACAGAAAAAAGTGGCTGCATCAAATGGGATGTTAGTTACAAATTTTTCTCGCACCCGTGAATTGTTTCGTGTAACCGAAATGCCACGTCCCCTGCAAGGGATTGAAGCTAACTCTTTCAGAGTTAATCTGCAAGAGAGGTGGTGCGATTGTGGTTTCTTTCAAGCACTCAAATATCCATGCTCTCATGTCATTGCTGCTTGCTCACATTCGCATTTGGACTACAAAAATTATGTTGATCCCGTATACCAACTTTCACAAGTATTCAAGGTATATGAATTTGAGTTTCCGCCCATAGGAAACGAAAGAGACCCAAATGAGATTCAAACTTGGCTTACAATTGTACCAGATCCATTGCTATTGAGGGACTCAGGTCGTCCAAAATCTACCAGAATACATTGTGATATGGATATTCGGGAGAAGTCAACAGAACAAAAACGATGTGGGCATTGTAGAAACATCGGGCACAATAGAAAAAAATGTCCAGCTCTGTTATCATCATATAACCGTTAACTCTTATGTAATTAATATTGTATTTAAATGAATGTTTTTGTTTCTAATAATTTAATGTTATTGCATTTATAATTTGTCAATGTATGTACACCTAAATAATTTTTTTTTTAACTTTTAAATACATAAATATTTAATATATTTATTTAATATAATAATTAATATTATTAGTTATAATTTTTTTTAAAATATAATAATAATTCCACCTTCTAAGTAGAGAAAAATATTAAATTAAACAAATTAAAAGTTATTAAAAATTTTATGTATACGATGACACATTTCATGTTCTGATTGGAGGATTAAATTTATTAAATTAAATTTTCAATAAGACTAATTTTATAAAATATGTAAGTCTTGAAGATTAAATATGTAATTATACTAATTTATTAACGTATGCATCAATATTTTCGTTAAATATTGATATGAGATGACTAGATTGATAACATTTAAATAATTAACTGATAAAATTAATAGATCGATAATCAAAATCAAAAATAATAATATAACCATATGTGTAATATTATAATTTCATACATTTTTCCTATAACTACAATAAAGTCAAAACTGGTTTTCATATATTGTTATATCATATTAATGTAGATAATTCACTCCACCTTTAACACACATTAACAAAATACATTTGATAATTCTTACATTATAATCGAAACATTTTACATAATATATTATTAATTTATAATAATAATAATAAAAATAAACTATTTATTATTAAACAAAATACGTGTCTGCTGAGTTGGCAAAGGCGCGTCCCTGGGGATGCGCCTTCCACACGTGGCATCCAACTCAGCGAAAACACGGGTAAAGCGCGTCCCCGGGGACGCGCCTTTGCCAACTCAGCAGAAAGGGTGCGACTTCTGGAAATATTAGTCAAACGGTGTCAGAAAGGGAAAATTAAAAAAAACGGTGTCAGTTATGTCAAATAGCCCAAAGTTGACAGTAATTGGCTTTTTTTTAATGCAAAATTAGGTATAGGCACAGGATAATGTTGAGCGTTTTTCCCGAAATATCACTTTTACCCTATAATATTCCCTATCAGGTATCCTTCAGATTATTTTTCTCGATCTAACGCCCTTTGCAGTAAGGCACGCCCCTTGCAGCATGCTTTACGTTGATATGGAACCACGTGGGGTAAGGCGCGCCCCCTACAGCACGCTTTACGTTGATCTGGCGCTACGTGGGGTATAGTGCGAGGCAGGGGCCGCACTTTACCTTTAATGCTGGCACGCGTCAGAAAGGCGCTTACCCCTTATCTCGGCCGTTCACACCCTACCCCCTCCCTATAAATACCCCCATTCTCAATCACTTTCATTACACTAAATCCTCTCAACTTCTCTCAAATATTCTTATCTTCTATTTTGACTGTTTAAGGTATATTTTATTATATTTAATATTTTGTTTTTAATTTATTTAAGTATTTAAATTTTTTAATATTTTATTTAATTAATTTTTTTGCAGATATAAAATAGAAGGAGGTATACTTCGCTTGGATAGAAATCATATATCGCGACATTTTGTTGATACGGTAACATTTTAACGTTTTAATATAATTTAAATTATTAGTAATATTTTTTTATTTATTTAATACATGATTATTAGTTTAAAAATTAATTTGTGTAATTATTTAATTTTAGGAGAAAGATCGTGTATTAGATCATTTTATTAGGAATCTTAAGTTAGTGATACCTAATCGTGTCTTGCCGTATTTAGTAGAGGCTGGATTCAGTCACATAGGTAGATATGAGGGTCATTGTAAGATAGAACCATACCTTATTTTTGCCTTAGAGGAGCGGTGGAGGCCGGAGACCCACACATTCCATCTTCCGTATGGAGAGTGCACGATTACACTTGAGGATATTTCTATGCACCTGGGGCTTCCGGTGGATGGAGATGTGATATTGGGGATGGCGCACGGTTCATGGACTGCTTTGTGTCGGGACTATCTAGAACGTGTCCCGGAAAATTTTAACGGTGGTCGGATACTGTTAAATTGGTTAGATGCCATTTTTCGGGAGTTAAGCGATGACGCCTCTGCTGATGAAGTTAAAATGTATGCATGAGCATGCATACTGCAGCTGATATGAGGGTTACTGATGCCGGATAAATCGCACAACCAAGTTCACTGTATGTGGTTGCGACATCTTGGCGACTTTCGTCTGGCCGGATCACTCAGTTGAAGCTTGGCAGTTTTGGCTTTCCTGTACAGGGAGATGTGTTGAGCCACTGACTACAAGAAAAATGCTATCGACGGATGTCTCCTGCTGGTGCAGTCTTGGGCATGGTATCGATTGCCCTTTTTATGTCCCTTTGTCAAGAACCCATTCGTATTTCTGCTACTATTGAGGTAATTATAAAACTGATTTCATATATTAATCATTTTATACACTGTATAATAAATTTTGTTTTCCTTGAATATGTGGTCTACTGATAGGAAAAATCATCAGTAGCTACCTGATGATTTAGAAAAAATTAGGGTGCTAATCGATCAGAAGATTGGCAAACATGTATGCATTTTAATGTTTAAAAATCGATTTTAGATTATGGTTGTATAATTAGATTATTATTTTGATAAAAATGATATATATATATATGTTTTAGTTTGAATGTGTGTCATATTCTAATGATGATGTGAGGATCGTGATCCCACCTAAGTTGAGGGGCCCATTAGATGTTTGGATGGCGATGATCCCTTTGATCTGTTATGCGATCGTCGAGTGGCACTCCACTGATCGCGTGCTCCAGAAATTTGGTTGTTTTCAACCAATTCCGGAAGCACCTCACAACATGGACTAGTTGCATAGCACAGATAGACGCGGCAAGACCGATACAGATTGGCTGGTGAGGCATCATGAGTGGGTCGTGCTGTGGGAGGATCGACATCGGCACCTTCCCCGTAGAGAGCCCATTTTTACTGACCTCTTCATGGCTGCTGACGGTTATTATGAGTGGTTTAACAGTAACGGGAAATTGTTTCTTCTTTCCAAGGATGTACGAGGGCAGACCTTTCAACGATGTCAATAGAGACGTTCGCCAATACAGCACCATCGTCCCTCGACTCATGGACGGAGAACAGGTGCTTCTGGTTCATCCTCAGCTGCACCTGCAGGACCTTCACAGCAGTCACCATCTACAGCGACTTACATACTGCAGCCATATGTGATGTCGCCACCGTCGTTCCCTTACCCGATATCGCCACCGCCACCTGGTTTTATGACCCTGTTGCCACCACCATCACAGAGTTTTATGACCCCTCCTGGAGGATATTATGAGTCTATGTTTGTAGATCCGACTTGGTGTTCATATGCCCACATTTTGGCGGGTTCAACCTCATCACCCATGGCTGCAGCACAGACACCTCCTGTACAGTTTTCACACTCAACGATGTCTGGGTTTTATGAGTTTTCCCAATTTTCGCAGGCCGGTGGGATAGTCAGTCATACACCTCCAAGGTCCTTATTCTATGGAGGTGCTTCATCGTCATCAGCTCCTCATCAACCTAATGTAGCTACTCACGATGACGATGACGACGATGATGACAGCGAGGAGTCACAACCACTGATACGAAGAAATCCTCCTCGAGACCGACAGCCACCGCCCTGCGGAACACATTCGTGTCGTAGACATCGATAGATTTTTTTTATATTTGTATTTAGTTGTTTATTGGACTTTTTTATTGTAATTTTTTATTATTTATCATTTAATACTTACTTTATTTCATTAATTTTGTTGGATTTATTTTAATTTATTTTGTTAAATTTGTTGGATTTTTTGTTAATGTATTTTGGTTAATTTTGTTTATTACCATTTAATATCAGTTATTTTAATTTGTTTATCATTTATCATTTAATACTTATTGTAAGTTTGTTGTATTTAAAATTATATTCAAATGCCAAATTTTTATTATTTTGATAAAATTTAATAATTGTGTTCGATAACTTTCTTCAGTTTTTCACTTACTGTAAGATCGAATGACAATAACTTGAAGTAAATGCAAATTAAGTACAAGAATTCTTATTTGATAAACAACCACATCAGTTCCTCATCAATTGTTACTTGATGACAGCAGAAGTGGACATGTTTTTCTAGTGTGTCATGGGTTTCTACAATGCCCACATCGTCTGTCTTGTCTAGATCTTTCTCGAATATCCATATCACAATGAATTCGATTTGATTTTGGACGACCACTCTCCCTCAATAAAGTTGGATTTGGTACAATCGGAAGCCAATCCAGAACCTCATCAGGGTCTTTATCATTACCTATAGGGGGAACTCAAATTCGTATACCTTAAAAACTTCAGATAGTAGATATACGGGATCCACAAAACAGTTATAGTCTTGACGTGTATGCGAGCAAGCTGCTATCACATGAGAGCATGGATACTTCAAAGCTTGAAAAAACTTGTAGTCGCACGTTCTGTCCCGTAAATGTACTCTTAACAACACAACTTTAATCCCTTGAAGAGGTCGCGGCAACTCTGTGACACGAAACATTTCATGTCTTCTAGAGAAACTTGATACATACATTTCATTTGATGCATCAATTTTTTTTGTAGATCTGCAACTAATCTAGGGTGATAGACATGACCGCCTTGCATCCAGGTTTGAGCTTGTCCCTTGAGCTTCTCAAAAAGCGCCCCCAAACAAAAATATGTAGTTTTTACCAAAGCCGCTACAGGTAAGTGACGTGCACCCTTTAAGGTTGAATTGATTGCCTCAGCCAAATTAGTCGTCATGTGTCAATATCGATATCCACCATCATATGCGTTCGTCCACATTTATTTATCGATGAGGCTGATGTAATCATATCCTTCCTCGTTTTTCGCCCGCAAATCTTGAAGCACTGATTCAAACGTTTGAGGAAGTAGTTCATAACCTGATCAAAAAATATATAACTTACTAACTTTCTTTCTTTGCAAAATTAAAATGATCGAAAGAAAACAAACTACATCAGTTTCACTTACCCATGCGCACAATTAATTGATGCTCATCATTCTTCTTGTTCCTTCCATGGTAGTTCGCAGCAATGTGTCGGAGACAATACCTATGTTGGACAAACGGTGGTTGCCACATTGGACCCAAAGACTCCATTGCTGCTTTGATCCCAGCTCCGCGATCTGAAATGACACATATATTTTCCCTCGTGATAACATGTGCACATAAGTTTCGGAGGAAAAAGCCCAAGAATCTATATCTTCTCTTTCAACAAGAGCAAAAACAACTGAAATAATGTTGTGATTGCCACTTGGACAACTGCCAATAATAAAACTTGCTTGTATTTTACATACAAGAAAGTCTCGTCGATCTAGACCATAGGCTTGCAATATTTGACAGCATTAACGCATTGTGAGTAAGTCTAAAAAACCCGATAGAATTGACATTGATCGCGAAGAACTCAATCATTATGGTATGCATAGGAGGTTTCGAAGTCCACAATTTTCCCAGGATTCAACCTTCGTACCAGCATGAAAGTTCGTTGTAAGATGCATCTCATTCGCCATGAAGTTTGACAATGACATTTTATTTTGCCAACCAAGCTTTTTTATAGGAGAAAATGTACCCATATTGCGATTGTATAGCTGAAATCAACACAGCAACAACTATATGAGAGCTTGCTTTTACCATGGGCATGATGACTTGGCATATCACTTCAGAGTCCAAGTTGGGATGATCTTGGTTGACCCCTCCAGCACAACATGTGTTAGGATCGTTGTATAATGTTAGTTCTCATCTGTTGTTTTTCCTCTTCCTCTTCGATATATGAACCATCCAATTGCATCCGTTTTCGCGTCAGGAACAGTAGCATACATATTTTTCTATCGTGGAGCAGTCGACTCTCGATTGAACAGAATTACGGATATTGTAATTTTTTATAGCCATCATCGCTTCTTCTTTGCTTGAAAACTCTATGCCTAAAGATAACTCACCATTATTTATTGATGAGTAATATCCATAGTTACCGAGATTAGGCATATCTGCAAATTCTAGCATGTATATTGCACCATAATCAACTTCATACATGTGTGCTGGAGGGTCAGTTTGTGCCACATTTAATGGAACTTCAATGAATAGTCCAGTCTCAGTACCATCCACACCAGGTTCACGAAGCAGTTCTTCTGGTGGAGATGATGGTTCCTCCATGCTCTCCACATTTAGGTCGAAGAACATACTATTTGCACGTCTTCCCCTTGAACTAAAAGGCATATTGTCATTGAGATCGAAAAAGCTCGTAGTGGAATGCCTTCCCCTGGAGCTTGAAGCCATCGTGTCAAATGGAAACTGCACAGATTGTTGCGTCGATGGCATCTCCATATTAAGGTCAAAGAAATTTGCAGATGAATGTCTTCCCCTTGAACTGGACGCGATGTTGCCATACGGATTGTTTGTGGACCCATCTTGGTACATATGTAAGGAGTTACGGATGAATATCTCCCCATTGAAGTTGATGTGACGGCACCATAATGCGGATTCCCATTATGGCGTTAAAATCATTACATATTATTGTAGTCGGGCTGTCAACTTGATCAACTTGTTCAGCCAGCCCATAGTGGGAGCTTAATGACTGACCCCGAACAGCACGCACTTGAACAAACTTTGCATACATCTCAATATCATCATCTGAATAATTACTTTGATAATCAACCATCATTTCAACATCATCATTGTTCGATAGTTCGAAAGTTGTATAAGTTAATGGCAACAATGATGTTGGAAATATGTATTGCAACGACGATATTCTTCTACTACTTCCAACATGAACCTTCCTCGAAATCTTCGTTATCAGTTCCTCAAGAGTTATGTTTCTCTTGAATGATATTTTAACACGTTCATTTGATACGAAAACAACGCCGGAAAAAGGCCATAATCTTGCTGTAAAATTATTCCATTGACCGCCATAAAAGGAGAGAATAGAACTCAGTATTCTTATTCTCCCATTCTTTCTCTTACCATTATTATTGACTAGCGCCTTTTTTGAGTGGTGGTGGTGGTAACGTCGGAAACAATCGAATGGCTAAAACTGGTTTATTAAGTTCCGATCCAACAGCCAGAGCTAGGGCGGCGGAGTTGAAGAAACAACTCCAGAGGCTGGTTAAGACCATCGTCGACGATGAGGATTACAACCTCCACTCCATCGATCAAGCCAGAGATGTTCTTTCTGCTTTGAGAGCGGTTAAGTTTAACAAACGTTCGACGGTGTCCACCGTTACGTCGTCTTTGAAATTACACGAACCGCTGTCCTGCCCCCCCCAAGAGTTTGTGTGTCCTCTTTCTAAAAAGCTTATGAGAGATCCCGTTATTTTATCTTCAGGCCAGGTATATTGGAATTTTTATTATCTGTTTTAAACAAACAAACAAAAAGTTCACTCTTTGATAAGTTCAGTTTGTTGATTTGCAGACATATGATAGACCCTTTATCCAGAAATGGCTGAAAGCGGGTAATCGGACTTGCCCTCAGACCCAACAAGTTCTTTCGCCCCGTTTGTTGACGAAGAACATCCCTTCGTTCCATGCCCTTTTTGGAGAATCTGTTGACGCCATCCCACGATTGCTCGCCCCGCTTTCCGGAGCCAAATCTCAAAGCGGCCTTCTTCACACTAATATCCAGGAAGATGTGATTACGACATTGTTGAACCTTTCAATTCATATGAAAAATTCAAGACCTCCATGTTGATTCTTTTCAATAGAATTGTTGGAGCGGTCGAAGTTTCATTGCAAGTGACCTCAAACCATGAATCCAAGTAAATATCGGATCCGATCCCAAAAGGGAAGGAAACACTGACATTTCCGCAGCTGCCTTTAAATCCAGGTTTTTCTGTAGCAATAGCTGTAGAATTAAATGCTACTGCGTGGGTAGTTACCAGAAGCAAGAAAGTGAAGCTTGAAGCAAATCGCAAAGCCATTTCTGTTTCTTTTGCACCTCTTTGGATCATTTTATAGAGGAAACTAGGGAAAACAAAAAGATATTTCTTTGCAGTTTCAGAGGTTAATCATCATGACCGTTCCTTATTTTCTACATAGGGATAGACTGAACAGTGCCAAGGCAATCCTGAAAAAGTCTGGAATATCAGAAATGCGACTTCTTTGAAATATCAGCATATAGTTTGTTTTAGGCAAAATCAACGAGATAATGCTCTCAAATTGTTTATTTCACGAAATAATGATCTCCCCAGATTAATTGCTCAAATGGAGTGATCTCCACAGTGTTGCCGTAGGTCGCCATGGCATCCGGGCGAGCTTGGAGGTCGCCATGGCATCCGGGCAAGCTTGGAGTCTCTGCATGGTTGTGCATGGCGGCATGGCAACGTGGCATGGGTCTGGGCGAGCTTGGAGTCTCTGCATGGCTGTGCATGGCGGCATGGCAACGTGGCATGAGTCTGGTGGCAGCATGGCAACGTGGGTAGGTCGCCAGGGAATCCCAATGACATTGTAGGTCGCCAGGGCATCCCAGCGACATTGTAGGTCGCCAAGGGATCCCAACGACCTATGCCTTTGCCCGAAGCTCTCACGTGCTCTGCTGTCGCTGCGCCTCTGCTCCCATACAGTGTGAAATCAGCTGCATTATTGCAGCCCGTGAACGTGAATGACTCGGCCACCTGTAATTGAAGCAAAGTATGCCCGGTTGTTGTATTATATATTGGATGGATGGGGTTAATGAGTGAAACAATTAAGAGAGAAAGAAAGGGAGAAAATAGCAAAGGAGAATATAGCAGAAAAAAGATGAGGAAGAAGAAATGGAGAGCACAACATCGAGGTAAGTTTTTTAATTATTTTAATTAGTTTATTATTTTAAATTATTAGTTTGTTAGTTTATGGTTTCAGTTAAAACAAAATTTTAGTTAATTATTTAATTAGTTTGTTTGATGGTTATATATTAAAAAAATAATTAATTAGTGTGTTAGTTAGTCTAATATTTAATTAGTTTGTAGTTAGTTAAATAGTTAAGTTATATTTTGGTTGTTGAATTTATATTATATAAAAAATTAGTTTATTAGTAGTTTAAGTTTTATTATAATAAAAAATAGTTTATTAGTTTAAGTTATATAAAAGAATAATTATTTAAATTAGTTTATTGTTATAAATTATTAGTTAATTAGTTTATTATTATAAATTAGGGTAAAACAAAAAATTAGTTAATTAGTTTGTTAGTTTAAGTTATATTATTGTTAGTTTAAGTTATATCATATAGAAATAAAAAATTATTTAATTAGCATGTTTGATAGTTACATATTAATAAAAATATTTAGTTAGTTTGTTAGTCGTTAGTTATATATAAAAAAATATGTAATTAGTTTGTGTTAGTTAAATAATTAAGTTATGTTTATTTGTTGAATTTATATTATATAAAAAAATTAGTTAATTAGTTTTTTAGTAGTAAATTATAATTAAAAATCATTTATTAGTTTAAGTTATATTAAAGAATAGTTTATTAGTTAACGTTATATTAAAGAATAGTTAAAGTTATATTAAAGAATAGTTTATTAGTTGTTTAAGAGAAAATTTACGTTTAACTTATATTTTAAAAAGTTTAGTTTGTTTTATTAAATAAATTTGCCAAAATAGTTAGTTAGTTAGTTAGATTATATTAGTTATATTAAATGAATTTTTAAATAATGTTGTTTACTTTTTTTACAGATTCATTCCAATGGCTGACCAAATTCTACTGCTGAGACTTGACAATGAACATATTTCAAGTCATTTGGGAATAATGGTGAATAAAATATTTGTTTAATGAATTATAATTAATAAATATTTGAATATTATTTTATGATGATTGTGATAATTTTTTGCATTATTTAATTATAGGAGGACGAGCAGCGAGTCCTTCGTCTTCGGCTACATAAAGTGTCCAAGCCACGCCCATTGATAGAAGAAAACTTGTAAGAGGCTGGATTTTGGTATGTAACATTTGTGCGAGATTACAAGTTGGTCCCAGGTTTGATCAGTGCGTTAATTGAACGTTGGAGACCATAAACGCACACGTTTCATTTGTCGTGTGGCGAATGCACGATAACTTTGGAGGATGTGACAATGCAACTCGGGGTCCAAACTAATGGGATGCCGGTGGTAATGTCACATGAGTTTAAAAATGTGGCAAAACTTTGCAACTTGCTTCTTGGGAAAGCGCCTGTACCACCAGAGTGTAGAGGGTGGCGAGTGAGGTTGTCATGGTTGAAGAATGAATTTCAACTTCAACCAAATAGTACGGAGCACAAAATTATATATGCAACATAAGCATATATATTACAGTTGATTGGGGGAATTTTGATGCCTGATAAATCCGGTAGTTATGTTCACACTCAGTATCTTCTTTTTTTAACAAATTTTGAGAATTGTAGGCAATATAGCTGGGGGTTCGGCGATATTGGCGTTCTTGTATCATGAGATGTGCAAGGCATCATTAGTCGTGAATGATAATAATACAGCAGAAATCGATGGATGTCTGTTGCTGCTACAATCATGAGCTTGGCATAGACTTCTGTTTTTGACACCGATTAGTCGGACTGCGGTTGACTTTTCACTTGCCAGAAGGTAATATGAATCCTCTATTTTAATATAAAATATTAATTAGAAAAAAATTATTTTGATTAAAATTATTGAACAAAATGTCTCTATTTTTGTTTTGATTGATATGCAGATGGAGACATAAAATTGAAGGCACGGGGTTGGTGCACAACAACATTAAAGAGTTCAGGCTGAAGATCGACATTAAGGCCAAAAAGGAGGTATGTATAATCTTTATTTTTTAATTATTATTTAAATTAACTATATTATTTGATTTAAATCAATTTTATTGTTTTTGTAATTTTACAGTTTAATTGGAGACCATACATGAATGAAGAATTATTTGCGTTGATATCGCACGATATTTTAGATGGGTTTCAATATTGGTGTGCTGTTACACCATTGATCAATTTAGCTTTTGTTGAGATCCAATTTGGGGATAGAGTGCTGAGGCAATTCCACTTCCACCAACCTATTCCGCGGAGTCCATGGGATCATGACCTCCTCCAAAACTTAGATGGTCGTCGTCCAGTGAATTGGGTTGAGACGCATGACGACCTGCACAGATTTGACCTTCGTCGTAAAGAAGACGTTAATTGGGTTGAGAAGCATGCAACCTACATTAATGCTTGGAATAATAGGGCTTCATTCATGCCAACTCTTGACGCCATTCAAGACGACGACTTTAATTTTGAGACTTCGGCTTACCTTGCTTATTTTTGGGATAATGGAAAGTCGTTTCTCACAATAATGGTAGAGAGGCAAAAGTTTTTGAGGTTTAAGAAAAGATTTGGTAAAGCTGAATACTCTCTACCGAGTGGGAGTGGGAGTTCATCTCTACAACCTGAAGCGGAAATGACCGATGAGGATAATAGCGCACCACAACCGTTCGGCGATGCGGGATCGTTGCATCACGCAGTTGATGATTCTACTGTACCAGCATACATACTAGAGTTTGTGCAGCCTGAGGCACCCATCTATTCTCCTACGTTTTCGTCGACGTATGACTTTGAACACATGGCAATTCAAATGCCTTCATTGCCTTCATCTTCGCATTCCACACCTTGCCATATTTTACTTGATATCCAAATTGGCTTCGAATAGATGCAGCTAACACTGAACAAGATATCCTTGGATCCTTTTTAACCATCGCCTTCACGTATTCACATATTACATCGGAGTCCAATAGTCGGTGGTCTTGTTCGATGGAGTTTCGTAAACATGTGTGCGGACCATTGTACCTCGTGATGACCCAAACATCGTGCCTTTGATTTTTCGACACTCTGATCTTCCACTTGCACTCTGGGCTATATTTTACACACTTCGCGTATAGGGTTTTCTTGTTGGACTCTCCAACATGGACATCAACATGGCATTTGATGCAGTACTCTTTAATCGCCAGTGTAGCTTCATTTTTTCCTCTGAATTGTACCCCAACTGAAAATTTACCAGAATTATCGAATGATTCAGTCATTTGGTACGGAGGTAAATGTGGCATGTCTGGGAATTCAGGTGCCCTCATCGCATCATAGTCTATCTCGTATATGTGAGGAGTAGTTTCATACGGTGATGGAATTTCATCAATTGCACCTCCACCAAAAATATTTTCGTCGCCGCCCAAAATGGGTTCTTCGGTTTCTTCATCTTCGCTTGAATCATCATGAATTTCTCCCCATCGATTTTCAGCATCAATATCAACAACCAATTCCGGTATGTTTCTCGTCTCATACTCTGCTGCTGCAGATGTCCCCCGACTTCATTTACACTTTCCAATAGTGCCATAAAACTGTTCAGGAACATGTATGTCGTCTCCTCAAACTGACTATATAAAGCTATTTCAGATGGATTTTGAGCCACACCTCTTGATGACCCAGGAACATCACATATGTTACGCACATCAACAAATAACTCAATAACTGCTATATTGGTTTACTCATGTAATCCAACCATGGTTCCAATATCATCATCTTCTTCAAGTGGAACTGCAGCATATCTGACTGGGTTGGGGCACATTATAAACCTATACCTCAAACCATCAACTGCAGCTCGAATTTTTCTTTCTATCTTATGCTTCATTTCTATAAATGTGATGTCTTTTTTGAACATCATATTTATTGGTTTTTTAGACTGAAAAACTACTCCGACCTCTTTTTCCATAATCTGTCCATT